ACAGTCCACTGTGGCCTAAATAAGCTAAACCCCCCTCCCTTACCTTATTTAGGCCATATGTGGCCTAAATAAGCACTCCCTTTCTTATATCCTTTGTACACATTAGTTTTGGATGTCATTTTACGTTACCCCAGTGGGTGGTTGGCTGGTGCTCTGGTGTGGTTTGCTCCTTCTTTCCTATCAAACATCTGTCGTCCCTATTTCCCCTCCTTCTTTTTTTGTGTATGTTACTCTCTTGTAACACATAATGTATTTTTCGGCACTTATATATGACCTTATTGTATTGCAAGTGTCGTAAAACTCTTACTAAAAAAGAACATTACCCCACCCCGACAACCTCTACATGTTTGCAATATATCTAAATTGCTTTGATTCTCAATAAGTCAAATAGTCAATCTCAAGCCTGTATCTGCATTCTCTGTCTAAAAGCTGGGGTCTTGCTGCCCATTCTGGTGCGGTGAGAAGCATCCCGTTCTCTAGTCCCCTGCAGCTGTGCAGCCCACCTCCAGCAAGTACTGAGAACCCCTGGACACTCCGGGCTGCTTCACAGCAAGCATCCAGTCCTCCAGCATCTTCTGCCCCCTTCAGCACACCACAGTTCTCTGCCATTCTTCAGGACGAGAAGGAAAAGACGGAGACACTGGAACGTGCTGTACAGAAACCTCTGGGTCTCATACAGGTAGACAGAACATTTGTTTTACATTTTGTTTAATTGTTTCTTTGTGTCAGCATGATGACTGCTCTATATCCCCAGGAACTAGATTTGGACTAGAAATACTTGAAAGAAGTGGAAGAAGGTAACTGTACTCGTAAAGGTGCCTTCCTCAAACATAGAAGTTTTACCTTTTTATTGCTTAGCTCAAGCTAGGGCCTCCTTTTACCCATGGACCGCTATAACTAAATTGTTTGTGGGTGCATATCTTTACTGGCAAGCCATGCTGTTTCAAATTTGAAGTGAGTGGGTTGTGATCGCGCCAACAGGCAGCCTTCTTGTGCTCATACTATTTTGTGGTGTTTTTGACCGTTTTAATTTCTGGACATTTTCAAAAATTATACCATCATGTGTGTTAAGATTTTGTGAATTATTTGATATACAATTTTCTTGAAAGGATGAAAATTACCAGAGTTATTTCAACTTTTCTGTGTTGGTGGACAAGTGGAGTCAGTGTTGGTCTACTTGTTTTACTCATTTTTAGGGCAGGTCTCTTTGTGAAAATGTCCAAGGAATTTGTTTTGACAAGTGAACACTTTTTTTCAAATGGACTCCCAGGCTATGGTGAGGGTGGCTCTAACACAGACAGTGTATTCACTGAAGAGGACAATAGAAGTACATACTCTCCAGACACTCTGTTGTCATTTCGACCTCAGGACCATGTTTTCATACCTCCAAGTGTTATGAGGAGACTTAGAAAAAACAACTTAAATCGTATACCAAAAACTAAAAGGTCAAAAAGGGGAGGTAAAATCAAAATAGAAATAGAAGTCAAAATATCCCAGAGAAAAGTGAGTTCTTCTTCTTATTCTGTGGAGTCAAACATTTGACAGAAATATTCAGACAACACAACTTGGTTCAGGTCATCACTGAACCCACCCATCGTTCTGGCCACACACTTGACGGAGTCAGTCGTCATCAAGAAAGACGCTTTTAGAAAAATTTATGTTGTAGACAAACTATTTTCTGACCATTACTTTATCTTACTTGTGTTGGATGTGACTAAGACCAAGCCTGAAAAACATTCTGTGTTTACAAGGAACATCAAAGGAATTGACATTTATAAGTTTAAAATGGATTTTGTTGAAATCTTTAAGTAACTTTAAAACAGTCTGTTGATTTGTATAATTCCACTGTTAGAGCAGTTCTTGATAAGCACGCACCACTTGTAACTCATCATCTGTCAACTAGACCGTATGCACCATGGTTTGGGGTTGAGGTGAAAGTGACCAAAATCGAATGCAGGAAGGCAGAGAGACTATGGCTTAAAACAGGGCTCACCATCCACAAGCACATTTTTAGATTAAAGAAGCAAGAGCTGGAATTTGTAACTAAATGTACTAAAAAGAAATACTACGTTTCTAAATTGGAAAATTCAAAATCATGTAAACAATTATTCAGCATTTGTGATGAACTGTTAGGAAGGGTCAAAGAGACACGTCTCCCGAATTCTTTTAGCGATCAAGAACTACCCGAAAAGGTTGCTGATTATTTTACAGATAAAGTCCAGAAACGACTAAGAAACGACCTTGATGACTATGATACTTGTTGTGATTTTGATGTATATGATAGGGTGATTCTTAATAAGTTTAAACCTGTTTCTGAAGAATACATTAAATCTGTAATTCTAAAATCCCCTAGCAAACATTGTGATCTCGACCCTGTCCCTAGTTCTCTGTTATCTTCCTGCATTGACGAACTGATCCCATTTATTACTAAAATCATAAATAATTCTCTAGTGTATGGATCAGTACCAGATTCGTTTAACCCTATCCCTGACAACTGGGTGTAATCCACCTGTTCGCGTCAGAACTTTGAGAGTGTTCGTGTATCGTTTATCATAAAGAGACCAAAC